GCTAGTCGCCCTATGCTCTAGAAACACGAACCAGTCACCGTGTGCTTCCACTTTCAAATCAATTATGTCTGGGCCTGGATGATCTGGTCGCCGTACTCTGAACGTCGGTGTGGCCGAATGCTTTAGGTGCCGCATGTGAAAGCTGTATGGATGGAGCGCAGCGATGGCACCGCATAGCTTGTGCATCTGCATCTTATAAAACAAAAACTTGTGTGGTTTATCTTTAGTTCGGAATCCGCAGCTGTCTTTGCGCGAAGATTCGAAAATCATACGGGAGCTTAAGAGGAGGCTCAGAGGGGGACTTGGTGGAGATAAAAAGAAAAATTCCGAGAGTAGTAGCAGCAGCAGTGGCAATGGTACGAGGGGGGTTTAAGGGCTTAAGGGAGGACTTGAGAGAAGAGCTTTGGTAAGGCTGGTCCCGTCACCCTTCGGCGAAAGCGAGCTGTGGGCGCCAAAGTCTTTAGAAATGTGATGTTAAGGTTGTGGTCTACGTGTCAATGTCACTGAACGTTTGGTTTTTCAAGTAATCCAGTAGATTTTTTCCACATAGCCAGAAATTAAAACTCTAAGCATGCAAGACCTGGCGCAGCCAAGTCTGACGCAAAGCGACAAAGAATTGTGGTGTTGTGCTCAAACGCCGTTGACAGAGCAAGAACGCAGAACGACGTCGCTTGAATAACATGGCAGCAGAATTTGAGCTTAAGAGGTTGAGAGGAATGCATGTTCTGAAGGAGCTTGAGCCTTCCGCTGACATCCGCAACTTCCACAAATTGTTTACTAAGATGGTTACAGCCTGCTCCTTCAGGTGAAGGTGATGCTTTTCTTGAGGAGAGCTCGAGTCGTTGCACGTGACTTCAAGTGGATTAATCATCTGATGGATAATGAAGTATTCGCCCCAGAAAGTTCAAATGTCTTGTTGAAGGTGTCCGGCTATTCTTGTTGCGCAGCAGCAGTCCCCAGAGTCCCCAGATGTTTGGGAAGCCGTGTCACTTTATGTGACAGATGTACTTGATAGTTGACCAAGAGGTGCCCACTGTTGTCTACTGAGTCTACTGTGGTGACCGATTGTTTGAATTGTTGAAGAATCTCCCAGGCCAGAGGGCAGGTGCGAAGGATTGGGCCAATTCATTCCGACAAATTTTGTTGGTCTTTCCATTGAGCCGTTGACCCCGCAGTTGGACCAACTAGAACAAGCAAGCGCGTCGGTGAGTGTGTCAAGTCAAAGTACAAATGTACGTTGACTGAGCTCAAGCAAGTTGGTGATGAAATCGGTTTCTTGAAGCGCAGACGCATGTGGATACAATGATGGACTCTTACGGGCAATTCCCAATCCCGAGCATGTCGAAACGCTTGCAACTTTGCTTGGAGCCACTACTCAGAAGCCGAAGCAAAAGCCATTTCCTGTTGATAGAGCGATCAGACAACTGCTCTCGATCCAGCATTGTCAGGTGTGTTCAGAAGATGTGTTGGCGTTCTGCTGACATCTCATCTGACCTCCCACGCGTTCAGCTTGTGGCCAGATTCAATGCAAACCCCAATGCTGGTGTGTGTGGCGATGTCTTCGCCAACTTGAAGGTTTAGTAGCGCAGTCCAATGACAGCCACGTTCTTGAGACAAATCCACAAGGAAGTCAACATCAGCAGGTTGCACTCTCTTCAATGGGATGACCGTTCATTGCCTCGGTCGCAACCAACATTCTCAGCAGAAGCTGAGCACATCGCGCGCAACTTGTGATGGTGTTTTGCTCAAAGCTGCTCAGCCATATCCTCCAAGAGCCTGTTGAGATACACTTGTTGACTGACAGTGGTGCTGCAAGAGGGTTGATGAACAGGCGGGAGTTGGCAAGCTTAGGCGCATAAGTGGAAGACCCCTTTGGCTACAGGATTTTCATCGACAAGCCGTACCCACTTTGACTAAGCTTGCAGATCTCATGACCAGGTCTTTTTCCAGTCAGCGCGTCAAATGTCTCTGGTGTAGCCTGGCACGCATAGAGAAGACGGCTTTAAGTTGGTTGGAAGACAAGATATCAAAGAGCAGCTCCAACGCGTTGAAGCTAAGAAGATTCTGAGAGCCAGTCGTCTCTCAAGCAACAGCAGCGCAAGTGCAATGCAAGTGATGGCCTTGTTTCTTCAACTGAGTGGAGGTGGGTCTACGGAAGACGATCAGCGTGCCGAGAGTCAACCATTTTTGACGGTCGAAGAAAGTCAAATCACGGCGTTGGTTTTCTGATTGCTTTCATTTTGCATTCTGTCCTCAAGGCATGAGTTAGTTCCCTGGATCTACCAAGAAAAAACTTGATTAAAACCAAAAATTATGCAAGACTTTGCTTTTGTCTGCGTCAAACTGTTTATGTCTGGTCGTAAGACTTCTGGCTCACCAAGAATCACGTTCTCAAACATGTGTTCGATGTGAAAATCCCACTAAAACTGGAGCTCCAGCAGGTACTGGTGCCAGGCTCTGTCCAGAAAAACCAGACACAGTGGAAATATTCCACTAACATTGCGGAAATCAATTTCTTACCAATACATCGTGGAAGCCACTAGTTCTCTACACGCGCTGACAGCAGATTCTAATCTTAAAGATTTTTGCATGTCAGCATGTGGGACAGTTTGTAGATGTCCTAGTCATGTCGGCAGTCATGACCATTAAATAAGTACATGGTGTTGCTGAACTCGTCTGTTTGTTTTCGAGTGGTCTTGAGCATCAGGAACCGTTTTCGAGTGGTTTTCCACCGCTTTTAAGTCTTCAAGACCACTTCAGAATCTTTACCTTGCCTGCGAGCTGGTGGAAGGGTTGGTCGGGAAGCTGGTGGCGGAGCTGGTAGTGGAGCTAGTCAGGGAGCTTGGTCGTGGAACTGGGTAGAGGGAGCTGGTGGTGAGCGTCGAGCTGAAAATTCTTGAATGTTTAGCTTGGGGGGGCAGCTGGTGGGGGAGCTGGTGGCAGGTGGTAGGAGAAGAGGTGGCCGGGGAGAGGCGGACACTGCTTGCAATTTGACCTTATGTTCGGTTGTTGGTTCGTTAACAAAGTGTTTCAATCAGTAGTGGGGATTTTGAGTAAAGCATCATGTAACTTTGGAATCTTTTACAATTGGTGGAAAGAAAGCCTATGACTGCCTAATAGACCGCAAATTCTTATGCTCCGCACAAAAAGCCGATTCTAAAACGAAGAACTCAACTGGACCATCAAGCTGCGTGGAAAGAAATTTGTTGGTTCGCTTAACGATTTCTACGCCCACTATAAAATAAGATATTTGATTGATTTGGGCCCCAATTTGGGCAATTCTCAACTCTGTACTAGGGATTCTCTACAAATCCATTATGAAAGTAGCTTCGATTGTCGGAGAAGTTCTGAGATCAGAAGCTCCGCAACAAGGACTACCACAAGCTGGGCTCAAAGCTTCTTGTATTTGAAATGAATTCTCAGGGTTCGCTGACTCTAAGTAGACACATCACTTCTTAATTACAATTTCTTTTCATTTACTGACTGGTGGGTTGCCTGATTTTTATATCACTCACGGAAGATGTTTTTAATAGCTGTTGAATCCCTAGGCATTGGGGATTTTCTGTTTATATGCACCACTTGCTGACTATCTTTGCTAACACCTGCTAAGCAAGGTCGTAAGGAATGAGTGAGTTTTTTATTTGTTGGAGAATATCAGATCCCGGGCTCCTGCTTTTTCTCAACTTAAATCCTCGAACAGGACCCTTCCAACAAAAGTTTTCAGAAAATCATCTCTGCAGTCCCTCTAAAATTGTAAAAGCATCTTTTCTTCTTTCAAATCATTTGCAGTGCCCGCCAAGAATTTGTATCAAGTTTCCGAATCTCAATTCGCAAAAGGTGTTCCTCTCGCATTTTTCTGAAAACTTTTGGCATTAACACATCTCACAAACTTTCGAGGATGATCCGCGCGGAAGTGCGATTTTTGAACATTTAAGCAGAAAAACGCGAAAAACCCGCGCGAGAGCTCGATTTTGGACAAAAGCGAAGTTACGAAATTTTGACGATGTTTTGCACGGAAACGCGATTTATTGAAATTGGGTTGTATCCAATTTGCACCGGACCCTTTGTAGTAAAATTTCTTGAAAATGAGAAGGGGTGACTTTTGAAAAAATTACAACGTCACAAAAACGACGATGTTTCGAGGATACTGCGAGCGAAAACGCGATTTTCGATTATTGAGCTTGCAAGAATGTGGTGAACAACAGCGATTTTTTTATTTGCAAGTGAACAGCTTGTGAACAGTTCTGTTGTTGAATTAGAAGACGTCTTGAACAGCGTTGGATGCGTCAATGGGATGTGTCACTCAATTCTCATGTTGTTGACTGTGGCCACAACATTAAATGTGATTACACGCGCCCGCATAAACCTTCTTGTGGCTTGCTTGCACATTGGGTTTGTTCGTGTGATTTTCCTGTAGAAGGACGTTGCAGTCTGAGACAGTGCCATGCGCTTTGAAGTCGTGATGGGGTTTGCGTGAGAATTCCTGGTGTTGTATGTGTAAATAAGGAATATGCGTTTGGCAGGTTTTGCCACTTGATGGACGATTGTTGGACATGGCAGTGTGTGAACAACACAATGATAAAATTTACATCTTGCATTCTGTTGCTCTAGTTGTTGGCAAGGTGTCATTTTTTCAGGATACCAAATGAAACACATCAGCAAAAGGTTATAGAGATATAGATCTCGTAATTGGTACTGTTTTTGTGCAAGATGTGTCCGATGAGCATGATTTTTTGCTGTCGAAGTTGCATGGCGTGGGTCGTATTCATCACGTTGTCTTTCTGCAGACCATTGTTGCTTGTAACATGGCACTGCAGCCCTACGCAATGCCGATATTTTAATGCCAGCAGGAAACTCAGCGAATTTGCGTGGGAGTCCACGTGCGTAATTTTGTGATATTAGTCAGCCGAGGTCGGACGGTGACAGCATGTCCACAGCTGGGTTACCAGCTGAGATGCGTTTTGGTGTTCATGCATTGAATGTTCAACTGACGGATGAAGGCTGGGGGTGCCCTACAAGTGGGACCACTTGGAGAATGTGGGAGATGTCCCAGTCACAGTTGATTCTTGCTCACAAATCATTTTGTTGTTTCTCAATGGTTGTCGGCTCAGGTTTACACACCCAGAACAGGCCATGCGGTTGTGAACGAGGCAGGCTGCATGCAGTGGTATTTTCTGCATTGGGTTATACGCTTCTGTGATAAATGTGAGGCTTGTGCGTTCTGCGGCAGGACGGCGTTTTTTACTTGTTCGGTGGCACAGATGGAGCAGCACGGCAAAGCGACGTCCACGCGTGCCCTTGCTGATCGGTTGCCGTGAAGCGCACGCAGGCTATTCAAACCGTACAGGGGATACTTGAAACATCTAAGTGGATCAGTTTCGTTTAAGTCGGGGTTGTTGAGGGTGTGATCACCTTGTGCACTGTGGTAAGCCCAGGGTCCCTGTAGCTATACAGTGCGTGTGTTTTGCAGCTTTTTGGATCCATGAGATGGCCGGGGCTTGGTATCAGCTGAAGAGTGTGTGCAACAGCGCATGTCATGGTTGGAGTTGATTTTGTTTGAAGAGACTCCAACATTTGGCACGATCTTTTCCAAAGCAGCTTCTGTCAGCGGCTGCATTCTGTGGACATGTTTCTGGGCATCGCTGCACAAAGTGTTGCCAGCACAGCCGCCAAAATCAATTTGTCTGGATCCGGTTACCGCTTCTGCAAGGCGGTTTTACATTCGAAAGCTCCGGCGAATGTTGATCTATTGTGCAAGCGCCTCTTTAGCGGGCATGACGTTCTTTTTGCATTCATCTCTTCAAGCGATGCCAACCAAAGCAATGTTAACAAGTTTCGGCCCGCTGCACCAGATTTGTTTTTGGATGGCAGTAGGGCACTGGCTTGTCGCATTATGGGAAGATTGGCATACGTGCCCTTTCCTCGGGCAAGGATTGAAGGCTGATTCTGGAGGCGGCCTTGCTCTCTTCCCTCTCAATCTCTGTTGCTCACCCTTTGGAGTTATGTATGCGACATACACAGCACATCACATCGTGACTCTGATGGCTTATGGATATGCCTTATGGACATCCGAGCTTGGCGGGGTCATGGTGCAGGGGCTACTCTTTGAGCTTCCGGTTGTCTTCATGCTGAGGCGTGAGCTGGGGATAGCTTCTGAGGAATTACCAGAATGGTTAAAGCTGCCCAGCCGCGCGAATGCCCATTGGTGGATGACATATGCTGCTTTTCTGGCTGGTCGCGGACCAGCCGAATGTTTGTGGGTAGTATCAATGATTCCTTTTCCTTATGGCAGTGAGCTGTTAGAGCAATCTCTCTCCCAAGAAAGCTTGATTGTGTATCACCTCCTGGCCATTTTCTTTTCATCTTTGAACATTCGCATTGTCGGACTTCTCTGCTGCTGGCATGCGCAAGACGTAACTCGAGCGAAATCTGTACAGCAAGAGCAGCTTGGCCGCCAGATTGCCCCAGAGGGCACTCCAGCCAGCAAGATTTCAAAAGAGTAGCATGGGCACAGCAATAATTAGCTTTTCCATCAGCATTCCACACCAAATGTGTGTGCTGCATGCTGTCATCGATTGTTGCATAGCCCAATTTTGAATGCAGCCCGATGGTACGCTGACTTGCCTCAATGCGTACCTGGAAGCGAGATGCTTGGCTCTGCCGTCAACACGAGAGTCCTTCCTACTTAGATGTACTCAGCCTGGTCGTTGCCGCAGTACGTGTTTCACCTCGCGCACAAGCACGAGAGAAAACATGTGTGCCTCGTATGCAGCGCATGTTCTTGTCTGTGCATCATCTCTTCATTGGCTGATGCATAGTAATCTTGCGCCCAACTGTTTTGCTTTGACGACAGCTTTTGGGGCGGAGTAGATGGTTGATGTAGTGCTGTTCCTGGTTGCAGTAAACCATGCCAGGTACAACGTGGAAACGAACCTGTGGCAGGAGATTCGAGCGGGCGGCCGTCCACCTCCAGCTCGCAGCGGTGCCCAGGCGGGAAATACAGAGGACTCTTTGGGCCTGTGCACTTTCCCTGGTGTACCGTGTAAGCATGATGAGAAGCCGCGTGTCGACCCAGCTCTTTCCAGGCCGTGGTTTGGTCCGGTGCTGTGTGGTTCTTTGGCGGGTATACCAAGAAGGACCTTGCTGCTTATGCTTCTTCGCAATAGAGTACCAAGTATCGCAGCTGCTCTTTTTTGCTTCACCAGCTTGGCTTTCAGTGCACCTCTCCATGATGCAAGTCTTGTATTGCAAGAACCGGCATGCTAGGAAGGTACTCAGGGTTGACCAGTTTCGTACTGCATTTTAGAGTCAAGCCTTCGTCGCCGCACACTTTCCAGCATGTCGAATCCAGAGATCATTGATGGGAAGGCCGGAGGGACAATGCACAAAGCATGTTCTAGATGCAAGCAAAACGGACCCGGCATGCCCCTGCCCAGTCTTTGCGTTTAGGCCCTGGGCCACCATCGCTGTCAAGAAATCCGAATGGCAGCAGAAGTGGGCTGGTGGCCAAGAATTTTGGTCTTCTGTCAATCTGCATGCAATCTTCTTCACTTTGAGGACTGGGCCCTCTCGGCACTGCAGACACTTTCTCAACACGCTCTCAGCCCAGAAGACTGCGATGCTGGCGTGAAGGCTGCTGTGATTTGCTTGAGTTCGATGCTACTGTTGTTTGTCACTTGAACGGATGACTCGAGAAATCAGTGGGGCTGTGTCCATGCAACATGTTTTCATGCAACCTGTGGTCTGCGCCATGTGTCATCTCACGTCCTCGCCACACTTTATGCGGCTGAAGACTGCCACTCAGAGCAAGCGGAATGCCATACTCTAATTTCACACCTGCGCTCAACAGGTTGCAATGGCGGGGAAACACTTAGTTTTGCAAGAATATTTATGATATCATGGGGTGTTTTTACCGAGGTTCCTTGATGCATGCATTGCTCTTCCAGTTGCATCACTCTGACGCAGAGAGCAACTGAAATGTGACAGGCTTGCGTTTACAGCAAATCCTATAAACCATGGTGTGTAATTTCTGTCCTTAGCAAAGCATGGCAGAGTTTGCTTGCTGATGTGTAAGCTGTTGACAAAATTCCGCTTGGCAAAACTGATGCCCGGTGCTAGCAGACAATTCTTCCTTCTCGAGGGTCAAGGGCTTCCGGTTCTCCTGGTTGCGTCATGTCATGATCTTCCATCATCAGCCCGCATACTCTTTCTGTGATCTTCGAAGGGGCTTTGTTCAAGAGCTGCATGCTAAGATTGCGCGTGTGTTTCGTGGGAGGCCTGCGGGAAAGCATTGCGGTGGGAGTGGGCTCTGCAGCTTCTCTCGTGGTCGAGAAAAGTTGTGAGCCACCCCCTGAGCAAGATGCCTTCCTACCAACCAACTTTGCAAGCATTGAGAAACATGCGAAATGGAGGGTGGTTGCAAATGAGGTCGCCATCCCTGGAACCCCGCGATCGCAGCATGCGCTTGGGCCCTACATGGATTGGTCTCTATGATTTGGCATGGGCTTTGATATCAAGGCCAAGGCGACCGAGTGGGCACGTGCGCTGCAAGAACCTGAGTAGATCCGATAGGCCTAGCAGTTGCTCCTCATGTCATGTTTCTGCCCTGTCGACTTCAGAGGCTCCTGCTTCGCAACATGCGACATCGAGGGCCGAAACCATCTGTGAGCAGCTACGCTGCAGCGCCTGGACGGAGCAGTATGCATGGCAATCCTGGCTTTCGGATCTCAGTCGTTCATGAGAGGCGCTAGATGCGCTCGCACGCGGAGCCGCACCAACCTCAGGAATCCACACAGCAAAATCTGCAAAGATCCGTGATTTCCTTCGCATTCTGTTGAATCTCATCCGCTGCAGGAGTGGTCAAGAGCTCTACACCTATTCTCTGACATGCAGCGTCATCTGGCACCTGATATGGTTGCGATGACTGCCGTGATCACAGCCTGCGGAGCAGCATCGCACTGGCAGGACACTCAGGATGCTGTCTTTCGGCTGACATGGCATAGCCAGTCCAAGTGCCAAACAAGGATCGAAGCTGTTCATCTTTTCGATGCGGCTCGCGCGAAGTTCTCTGGAGGTCTCTGTATCTTTTGTAGTTCTGGACGTGGACATATCACGGGCAAAGCAAGAAGGTGACATTGTGTTGATGGGTGCGACCGCAGCAGCCTGCAGCCGGGGCCACCAATGGCAGGTGAACCCAACTTGATGGTTTCTTGTGTATCGTCCCTAAGCATGCGCAGGCTTCCTTGCAGATTCTCGGCATTGGTACACAGCTCGCGTATCTTTCTGCGGTGAGAAGACCGACTCATGCCTGAGACGGACCCAGGATACGCAGCAAGGCTGCTCAACACGGCACTGTGTGGAGCTTGCCTGACGGCCTGTGCCAGTTCCTCAAGCTGGGAGCAGGCCTTGGACCTGCTTGTTCTCACTCTGTTGATCTTTTTTTTCTCCACATGTCATCGACCATCCTTAGAGGTGAGTCTCCTCTTGCACATGATGAGCGTGCAGCTCGTCCAGCACGATTCGAGCGGAGCTTTTTGAAGTGCTGATCATCTTGAAGCACAGGCAAGACATTGCACCTGGGGAAGCAGGGCTCACAGCTGCTGTGCTGTTCTGAGATTTCCTTGAGACGGATTGAGGATTCTGGCATGCGATGCAAGTGAGGCAAGTGCCTTTTCAGCCGCAGAGCTTTGGCGGCATGCCAGTTCCCCAGAAGAAGGGTTCGGGGCTCAGTTTAAGACTTTGGCTAGTAGGTACATTGTCCCAGGTTCACTGAGGGTTATCCCTTGCCATTCCTGTCAGCGCATCTTGCGAAAGCGAGCCTGTTGCAGAATGCATCGAGACCGCCCAGGCCCTGGATGTGTTGTCCAGAGCGGAGCCTCAGACAGGCATACTTCTTTCTGTGCAAGCAAGTTGGAAGCTTTGCGCTGTCATGGGCGGCAAGGCGCTTGGTGGGGAGCAGCCCTTGCAGCAGCAGCTCGTGGCTTTGAGTGGGAACAGGCAGATGAGCTTCTTGCAAACCCACGGTGCCTTGATTATCTCGAGGGTGAGTTCAGACATACCTGTGAGGCCGTAGAGCTTTTGGCAAGGACTCGAAATAGGGATGCGATGGCTTACTTTTCTTTTAAACATCATCAGTGCAGCAATTGTTGTAGGATGAAGCTACGTGGTGTTCCCTCGAACGTCGCTTGGGCATGTTAGAAGCCGTGACGGATTGACTTCATGCTCGTGCAGTTATCACAGCTCGCTTCTATGCGTTTTTTGCTTGGCAGGAGGCTTGCAGCAGCTCTACTCCCAGAGTGAGTCAGTTTGCAGCTCTGCATCAGAAGAGCATCCCTAGGTGCTGTCCAGTCGGCCTGCACGCGTGCTTCCAGATGGGAGGTCAGCCTGGCCTTGCTCGAATCCACAGAAGGTTGGCCTTCCGGCTGCCATTACAGAGGTAGTCTTCCTTGCCGCGTGCCGACAGGCTCCAAGGAAGGCACAGGGAGATGCTTAGGCACGGCTCTAAGGCCATGTGCTTCCTTCTCCCTCCACTCTCCTCTCTGCTCGCCCCGTGCCCCTGCCAGCTGCTCAGGTCCACTTCTGGCTGCATGCCAGCACGGTGCTTTGTGGATGGAGGCAAGAGACAGCCACTGCATCGTTGCACAGTCTGTTAGCTCATGTCAAGGAGGTCCGTTCTGTGATTCTGAAGGCATTGAACCACCTGCGGAAGGCCTGGCTTTTGCGCCTCTCGTTTTGCTTGCTACCACGGCACCGTACAGAAGGCGCAGCTGTCCGGCGTCAGCAATGTTGTGATGCGCGCTTCCGCCATGGGGGCCTGTGCAGAGGCCTGTTTCCAGGCAGCCACTTGGGCCAATATCTTTAGATTTGACGGAGGCTTTGAAGTGGCAATGGGCTCTGCGCCTGTTAAGGCCTCAGATTGTGAGTTGCTGAAGCAAAGAGAACTGCCCGGCAGCTCAGGCTGCCTGCACTCACATCGAGGGAGTCCTCACCAAACGCAGTCTGCTTCGGTGTGGCACTGCACGCTTGCCGCAGCTCGCCTGTGTTGGATTTCGGAACTGGTGTCGTGCATTGACCCCCAGCACCTCGTCTGAAAACGTCATGCGCCGTGACTTCTCCTTTTGCACAGGTCGCCAGTGGGTGCCGTGGCTTAGACGAGTGCTGGAGCTCTGGGTTGTGCAGTGTTGCTGTCTTCTTGCCAGGCTGCAACTTTATGGCTCCTGTACGACCAGATGCCTCGTGTGAAGCCCAATGTGATCGCTGTAGGAAAGAAAAACTTCAGATTTCTTCAGGGTTTCTTCAGGATATGGCGTTCGACCAGACTTGGTGGCTGTCTGCGCCGCATTGTTGGCGAGTGCAGCTCGCAGCAGAAATGGGAAGCACTTGTCCCAACATGCTGCTTTTTTCAAGCTTCTTTCAGCTTCTTTTGGAAGCGGAGGAACGCAGCCACAAGCTTCGAGACATGACCGACCTGCAAAAGCTGATTCGCAGAGGCCTCTCTCCGAAGCGTGCAGGAATCTTGCCTCACTTGCCCACTTGCCTCAGTGACTGCAAGGCTTAAGGCAACTGGATCAAGCTGAGCAACTCCAGAACCCAAGGTGCCTGGGCCATGAAACTCACAGCAATCAAACGCCTCTGTCTTTTGTCAAGGACCCCGGAGCACTTCGCTGCTGCTTCCTTGTCCTTGGCTCAGTGCGAATTCCTTAAGTCCTCCATAGTTTCGGCGTTGACTGTACTCGATTGTTTGGGCATAAGCTGCAGGTTGCACAAATAGTCAAATTCGCAGGAGGCTTGGCAACAGAAGGCCGCAGGCAACGGATTCAACAAGAACACTAGCCATGCCTTACAATCTGGCATCCTTTAGCTGGAAGATCATTGTTACCTCACTTTGCACCAGGCGGCCGTACCGTCAGCTTGAAACTGAAATTTCATGAACGCTATTTAGTTTTCAGAGCAACCTAGAAGTCTTGGTTTGCGCGAACGCCACACAAAGGGGCCTCCAAAGCGATGCTTTCCGTTTAGAATCGGTGGAGCCTTGCACTTTCCAGTAAGCTCGACATAAGTGAACTGTATTAGACACCGCAATTTAAGAACAAAAAAAGAAAGCTCGGCTTGTAACGTGCAGGAGATGTGGGGTTGCGTGTCCTGATTCGTCCTCTGCACGTGATCCAACGCAGCATCCAATGATACACCTGGAAGCGCAGAACCCTTAAGGTTAGATCAGCATAACTGCCTGGCTTCAACCGCCAGACGTGTGAACCTCAGTTTTCCAGTCGGCACATTTAAAGATTTTAAAGGCTATAAGCTTGACTTCGGGAGTGAAGGTCGCACATGGCGAACCTGCGACCAAGTGTTGAAGGTGGCCTCCCTTCTGCAGAAGGGTGCACTGGCTGTGTGTTTCTAAGTGTGTGGCAAGGGCTGGAGTGCCCGATTGCGCAACATTTGGGACACTCTGTTCGCAAAGGCTTATGTTGCCATGGCTACAGGGAGAATGAGATGCACTGCACCAAAAGAGTCCTAAAAGAAAACGGCAATCCTCGCCTGCCCCCAGAACTTTTGCAGATCATTGGTGCTGGTGATGGACCCTGTACTGCTCCGGATGACTCAAACGGACGGAAGCGCAAACTGGAGGAAGGTCCAGTAGAGCTGTGACAAGCGGCTGGTAGGTTGGAGAAGAAACCAAGCCTTATGGTCAACTTTACATTTTGTACACAATCTGTTTGCCAGTCTTAGCACACAATGAAGAAGCAATCCACGGGGTAGCTGAGCAGCTTTCCTGCGAGTCTGTCACTGGCAGGCAATTGTTGGACCGCAAAGATGCTTTCGGCTGGCCTTGGCAAGTGCCTGGACTGCGAAAACTTCGCTTCTCCCATTTCAGTCCATCTCAGTATTTTGATTTGCAAGCGTGCCAAGGTCTCGGGGGACCGCAGTTCACGCGGTCAGTTCTTCTGACTTGGGGCCCGCGTGTGATCTCGCTGAGAAAAGCCGAGCTGCACTGATGCCGTGCTGCATGCTGACTCTGTCGGGCATTAGTTAATGATCTTACCCAACCACCCTTATACGGCTCTTGCTGGAGCCCAGCCGCGAGTGACCCCCAAAGCCAGGGACACACCCATATCGTTAGATCACATACAAAACCCCACATAGATCTTGCACCCATTAGCAAGGACGGCGACTACTTCAACGATGTCTACAAGTATGACATTCAAACCAGCATGTGGGGTTCAGTGCCCATGAATCAGGTGACATTCTGTATTACGTGGATGTGTGAGCCTGGATGTTGTCATAGCAGGTACACACTCTGGGCGAGGCACCAACGAAGAGGACAGACCACAGCGTCGTTCTCTTTCGGGATTCGCTGCTGGTCTTTGGCGGCTTTGATGGCCACAACAGGCTGGGCCGGCTGGGCATAGTGGTTGCAAAGAGTCTGTCATCTGCCCAAAATCTGCAACCTCACAGCCGGCAAACTTGCTTGCGGTGTAGCTGTCGGAATTGGCAAGTCTGCTGAGGGCCGGTCTGCCCTCACTTGTGCAACACCAACCCTATCGGCACCTGCAGAGAGGTTGCCAAGCATGAAAGCAATTCTCATGAAAATCGGCTACAGGGAGTCGAGATCCAACCAGACTTACAGGTACCTTCTCGCCCGACTTCGAGAGGCCACGCAAGATCAAGAGGGACGAGTTTCTGAACAGGTTGCTGGCAACTAGGTAAGAAACGGACAAGCGCATTTTCAAGCATGCCAGCCAAGTGGGGGGGGCTTTACGTCTGCTCCGGACGCGAGTTTTGGCGCGCGTTGACCCGTGACCTGGACTTGGCCGAAAGTCCTTCCGTTACCGTGCTGATTAAATGCTTGAACAACAAACAGTTGGGCAGAGAAAGAAAGTAAACGTGCTTTCAACTTCTGCTCATGGAATGGTTCCTCCAGCCTCGGCCTTGGCCTGTTTCTGAGTCTCTGCCATTTTCTTTTGCAATTCTGGGCTCGTCTCCTTTACGCTCCTGGCCAACACGTGTGTAGTTCGTGCAGGTTCAATGATCTCAGAGAGCTGCACCTCAAAGATAAGCGCTGGAGCCAAGTCAGTGTGCAGCACTCAGCTGAAGCTGGACTCTGTAAGTTCGGGCTGACCTGACATTTTTGAGGTTAGAAGTCAAGTGCCTCGAAACCGCTTTGGGCACACAGTCATCCCCCCAGTGTGTGATGTTTCGATGCTTCACCTGTGCGGCAGGGTGAAGAGCACAGCTTTGCACTTGATGTGCCAGGCCGTGATATATGCGCACTCAATGTACATCTTTGGTGGCTGGGATGGCCATGACACGTTGCAGGATGATTTCGTGATTATTTGTGCTCTGAATTTTTCGTTGTGAATTTTTGGTTGTGAAGTTACCCCTACTCCAGCAGGAGCTGTTTGAGTACAACATCTCCTCAAACATGTGGATCCAGTGGCTGCCTCACTTAAGTGAAGGTGTGTCCAGCGTTTGTAGCTGCAGGTTCACCTGCCGCTGTCAGCGCTGAAGGATGCGTGTGCGGAGTGTGACAGACTCAGGTTGCCACTTCGCGGTACTGCCCCTCGAGCCACAGTCCAAGCAATTCCTTGGCTTTTGCCATTTGGTCCCACGGCTTGTCCATGATGTGGTTTGGGGAGGCTCGTTATCGGCACACCGCAGTCGTTTGTGGAGATGCGGCACCAGCCTTAGTCTTCTGGTTCTGCTGCTGAAATACGCAAACAATCTTGAGTTCCGTGCACGCATCCCAGATGTTCACATTCGGTGGCGTGGACAAGACGCAGTACCGCTTTCCGGATCTACACGAGTGCCCCGCGACCGATAGATAGCTAGATAGATAGCTAGATAGATAGAGATAGATAGATAGATAGATAGATAGATAGATAGATCGAGACATATATACATATATATACATGTATAGATATATATCTCGTATGTATATATCTATGGTATAAACAGGCAATTCTGTGATTTTGTTGTCTGGAAAGGATGCGCCAGGGCCCAGCGGGAAAGACTTTGCATCCCGGTCAACAAAATTTGTTTTTCTTTTTTCTTGCAACTCCAAACTGCCCATTCCTCCTCCTCCTCCTCACCTTTTTTTTCTCATCCCTGTCGTTCCGCGGGAAGAGGTACAACTTCACACACAGGCACTGGTTGAAGGCAGGCGCTGCTGAATCGTGCTTGCAGAGGTAGAAAACCAAAGTGGCCGCAGGTCGCCACAATGGCCGTGCAGCCCTCTGCCAGAACTTTTCACAAGACGGTTGTACATGAGGCACGAATCCTTCGGGTTGACGCTCATCTGTGCTCGGAGAGCTCTTCTTTGCATTGTTTATTTCCAGGGCTACATGTACATACTTGGCGGCTTCGATGGACGTCGCTTGAACGACATGCGCCCCTGACATGTTCGGCTTTCGCATGTCATGTCACTTTCTCCTGTATCGATTCAGGTATCGCATTCTGCTGCGGACAAAGTCAGAGCTACAACGATGCCAGAAACAACTTGCAGACCAGGCGAGGCAGACTTGGGGCTGTCCAAGCAGCTTGTCCTGATGTGCTCATGTGAAAGGCAGCAAGCAGCCCGCCTGTACCCACCGGCTCTGTTCGTGCTGAAGGCAGGATGGGCTTTGCTCTGCGCATCAGCATTTAGGGGTCCTACCTCTGCCGGCTTTGCAGATGTTCCTGGCAGCACTGGAGCAGTTGGTGATGCCCAGGACCTGCGTTTCGGCCACATGTTTTTCATTTTCTGCGTCGGCATTGCTCAGGTGATCGACTAGATGTTTCAAGGCTAGGAGTTCAGGTTGTGTCCGTAGCTGGAGGCAATTCAGCAAGGGACATCTGCTGGCGGGCAGAGAACGGCTAGAATACCTCGCAAGGACGCAATTCGTGCGAACTGCGCCTATCAAAAAGGTCGCCGTGAATCTTGTGAAATCTCCCTGGTTATGCCATCTCGCTGCCTAAACTTTTTGTTAGAATGGAGCGTCTGCACAAAGAAGAAGAGGTTGCCGCTTCAGCTTTACAGCTGCAGCTTTTTGGAAGGTGCAGCGGTAATTCGTTTTTACAGCAAAGCGTGCTTGCACCAGGATGCAGCGCAGACATTGATGCCGGAGGATTTGTGGTGCCACAGCCCTTGCTCCTTCACGGCTCGCATACTTCTCTCTTTGCATTTGTGCTGCATATCAGATGATGTCCGCTTATGATTGCTTCTGAGGTTGGACTCGAATCGAGGACCAGCAGGGCCAGGCGAGGAAGGGCCTGGTCTGCGGCAGTTTTGGTGAGGAAGCTTTCGGCAGGTGTACACTCCCCGCACTGGCCATGCAGTGGTGGTGTGGAACCACTGCTTCTATTTGATGGGAGGCTCCGCCGTAAAGCTCTGACTTCCGAATTCTCCATTACTTGCTGCTTACATCGAGCATGCCAGACCTCTTGGCTCAACTCAGGCTACCAACACACAAAAGGTTGGAGCTGACCATAACTTCCTGGCAAACCGAAGGTCTCCAAGTCCGCATGTGCACCAGAGGCATTTCCAGGATCTTCCAGGCACCTCTTGTTGAGGGGGTCCCCATGACCTATACCCTAAACCCTAAATAGTAGTTTCCATTTTATTTTCCATTATCCCCATATAAAACCTCAATATATACCCTATAATAAACCAACCTAAACCTTATTGTAGTAGTTTCCATTTTACTTTCCATTATCCCTATATAGCCCATCTATTATGCCCCTATTATATAACAACTTGGCCTCTTTAGTAGCTTCCATGTTCTTTTCCATTATCCCTATATAGCCCTATACAATATAGTAGTTTCCATTTTCTTTTCCATTATCCCAATGTAACCCCTATTATTACATAACAACTTGGCTGTGGCGAGCCATGGTCTTGGGCACTGGATGATGTCGACGTCGAGGCAAAGCCACTGATGTGGGATGGAATGACTGGATTGCTGTTAAGGAACTTAAATTAAGTTACCATAATGGATAAATGTAGTAAATAATAGGGTTTCCCCACTATAGTAACTTAATTTAAGTTCCTTAACAGCAACCCAGATGACTGACAGGCTAGCTTTCCGTCTATGCGTACAGCGACCTCTGGGGACACGGGTGCTCCACCAAGCGCGTCCCAGTTTGCAGTGCTCAGTTTGTATGGTGCATCCAGGGGGTGTCCTCCGTTCCGCTGGTTCCCCAGAGCGTACAAGCAATTGGATTTCACAAGCCAGTCAGCTATAAGCCCAAGGCCCGGCTTGCTCCGTTTGGGCTTGTCGGCGCCACTTCTTGCCGAAGTTCACAGTGTAGCTGTCAAGGCCATGTCAAGTAATGCAGCCTTGTCCACTTTGCGCGTGTGTAGCAGGCAGGGCCATCACAGGCTCTAGCCTACTTGACCAGCAAGGAGGCCGGGGCATCGGGTAGACCAGTTTGAAGCTAAGAGGAACATTGCCCAAAGCCTCAGGCCCTGGTCACCGACTTCAAGCAGCAGCAGGTGGCGCTAAGGCTGGAGAAGGAGCCGGGCCTCAGAAGGCTGGTTGCAAAGAATGGATCTTGTCACCCAGGCACGAGGTACCACGGTCGGGCTCAAGGTCCTCTGAACGTGTAAGGATCAGGGCGTTGATAGTACAGATTTGGGCCCCAAAATGTGCAGCTTGCAATAAGAGCCGCTTTGGCTTCCATGTTCTGCCATGGACGAAGCTTATTCTGGGTCGGCTGCCGCAACGTGGCAATGGTCAGATCCAGCCGTCGAGGTGGGTCCAAAGCACGGCCCAAGCCTACCGGAAGGTCTGCGATACATACGTGAATTTGTGACCAGCTCAGAGGAAGAGGAGTTGATAGCGGCCTTGGACAGAGGCGAGTGGATGCAGCATTTGATCCGGGCGCAACTTTTCCGAACTAGCTGTTTGTATCAGTTGGGGCTGCTAGAGACACTGGCGAGATAGTGTTGCTAGAAACGGTGATTAGGACCGGCAAGGTGCAATCCTTCCTAGGTGTGACGCAGCAAACTTCGTCGTATGTTTGATTAGCCTTCCGTAACCCGTGATGCAGGTTGGGTATCCGTTCGGATGTTCAAAGATGAGAGATTTGGCCAGGCATGGTCACTGCTCATTTTTTGGGTACTCGACCTTGACACTGAAAGTCATTTGGGCTTGGAAATCAGTCCACACTCAGTTGTTCGCAGCTGTTTCGTCAGTACGATGAGGTGTTGATCTGAGCTCCCAGAGCGTCAAGCCATGCTGTTTCCATAGACCCCAGCCGAAGCCGTCCGACAAATTCCCCTTTCTGCCGTGTTTCTGCCTGCTGCGACGGTTCCACACTAGGCGATTGATGTTCCAGTTGCAGCACATTTTACTGTTTCCCTTTGCAAGCTGAGGTTTTGAGGCCCAATGCAATAGGACCCAAAAGACATGGTTTCCTTGACCTTGACTGTTAGAACACTTGAGGCAACAGTTTTTTGGATTGGTCTATTATCAGACGAGCCACGACGTAGCTTCTTTGCAGCCTGCTGCTCCAGAGATGCAAACTGGGCGACCACTTGAAGAACTCCCTGGGTGGCTGCTACCTCGGCTGCTGGATACTGGCGTGTTTCTCACAGCTGCGGAGCTTAACCAAGTGGCTGCAAACCGGTACACCGGAACAACTGGCATTGCTGCGCATGTTGAAGACCCAGTCTCCTTCGGACCCAACCTGGCCACACTGTCTTTGAGCGCGCCTGTGCAGCTAACGCTATCTGCCGCATCAGAGCCCAAATCCTCAAGGGATTCTCCAGGTGATGGCTCGGACCATGGAAACTGGGTCAAAGTGCTCTTAGAGCCCCGGAGTTTGCTGGTCCTGCAGGGTGAGAGTAGGTACAGCTACCGCCACGGTATCCGCCGATCTCGGCTGGTGCGTCTGCGAGACGGAACCGACTTGAAGAGAGGGTCAGACTACTGTCGCATCTCTCTGACTTTCCGGCAATTGTTGGAAACACGCAGAATGGTGACTGTGCCATGTCTTGAAGACGAAGAAGCACAGGAAAAATAGATGCGCGCCTCAGTTCCGCTTGTCAAGTCATTGTGCTGTGCCTTCTTGCCTAGCACTACCTGCTGAGGTCTGGAGCTCAACCTGGGCATATGCCGAGGTACGCAGAGCAAGGCTGTGAAAATGATCTGTGCGGGGTTCGATGCACAGGCTTTTGACCTGTGGCTGCGGCAGCACGAGGAATGGGAGGCGGCTCTTTGAGACCACACGTTGGCTAATTCGGAGTTTCAAGTAATACCATAAAAGCTAGCGCGCGTCGCCTCGGCCTGGCGGAGAAGAGAAGAGGAGGGGGGCTGGAGGTGGGGAGGGATTGTCTCAAATCCTTTCCTAGGAACCAAGCCAGAGGTCTGGGTCTACCCAAATAACAAAAAACGCCTGAGGCCAGGCCTGGACGGATGACTACTTCGCCTGGTCTTGTGCACATGATGGTTTGCATGCGCATTGCGTGCATTGATCCAGATCCTTCGGGTTTGGGTTGGATGCAGGCCGATTGTGCCGAAAGAAGAGCAGCGCATGAGCAGCAGCAATTGGATCGGCAGAAGCAAGGCCAGAAGGATGGCAAGTCTGTCCCCGAGGCTGGGTCATCGCAATGAAGTTTCTGGACGGACGGATTGCTTTTTTTTTCTTGTTCAGGGTTTAGGGTTTAGGGATATCATCCCCCTCTAAAGGAAAATAACATGGACAATGAAATGGAGACTGGGGGAAAAGTGACTGGGCAGGTTCCATTGGTGCTTCCTCCAGAGCCAGAGCAGTGTGGCCCTTGGCAGGGTAAAGCAGATGCTGTTGCAATCTGGGTATATAGAAAAAATATATACATATATATACACATAGCAATTAATATTGTTTCTCCAATATGGTAACTTAAATTGAGTTCCTTAAATCCGTATATTCCCCCAGGTTCCATTTCATCTTCCATTTTCTTTTCCATGCTGATTCTCTATTATCGGGGGATAGTGTAGTAACCCTAAACCCTAAGCCCTAGATTATGATAGTCAGGGTTAGTCGAACGCGGAAGCTTTCGAGGCACTGCTGTAGCGACACTAGAAGGGTAGAAGGTCAATGCCTGAGTTGAGAGATGAGCACCCACGCAAGGACGGAGTGTGCATTGTGTTTTCGGCCGGAGAGAACTCGTTGGAGCGCAGGCGGAAAATGGCCGAGATAAGAAAAAACCTATATTATATTGTCATACCTCAATATAGTGACTTAAATTAAGTTCCTTAACCCTAAACCCAACAATTTTATGCCCATGCTCCAGGCCGGTCCTGCAGAGCAGAGGCTGCTATGTTTGGGGGCAGGCGCGGCTCGCGGCTTGTCCTACCTGGGAGGTGGGGGTATTGTATAGGGGTATTCTAAGTAAGGGTTAATAGGGTTTAGAGTTAACGGGTTTCCCGAAATTATGCAACCCGTCATCGGACAATCCAAGCGAGAGCGAATTTCCCGAAATTAGGGGTACCTTTTCTGGGGTTCCTTCATAAGTGTTACAATATTTTGGGGTCTATATTGGGGTCCCCCTATTCTGGGAATTGTGAAAGCATCTTCGTGAGCTCCGATGCATGATCCCTTACTATGGCCCAAAACGCCGGCAGGTGTCTAGAAGTCAAAGATTTGTGCGCGCTCTTGCAAGGGTGGAGTAGAAGCAGCATGCGAGTAGTTTTTTTCATTCGGAGATACTACAGTCTCCAGATACTGCAGGTTGAAGATAGAATAAAACTATAATCTTATTAGGTTCAGCCACCAAGAAATCACCACTCCTGTCCTGGAACCTCGACATGAGCCATCGTTGATACTTGCGTAAAGGCAACGATCAAAGAGAAAGGGGACAGGCAGATTGTTTTGCAAAGGCGATAGATGCCCCAAGCGTGATACCCTTGAATTGTAAACTCTACTTGCCAAGCAACTGAAGCATAATTGCGGCAAAGATTCGAAGTGGTGCCGAAACCCTCAGCAATTCTACCCCCACATCATACATGGCCGCAGGAACTTGAATAATACCAGTTTCCCTTTCCAGATGCAAACGACAGGTTGGTCGAGGCAAGACCCTCTTGATGGACTTGTTCGTGCAATGCCCAGCTGCAACTCGCATCTGGCAGCTTTAGCGGTAGTGTTTTTCGTGCTGAGGCATTGTCCCTTCAACCAGAGAAGGGCTTGCCTGAGGGCAAACTGTCGGCAAAGGCCCCTCCAGCCATGCAGCTGCGTTTCGTTCATTCTTTCAGACAGTATTAGAGTCTAGGGTGCAGGCGCGGCTACAGCGTGTCCACTTTCATGAGATGCTTCCTCAGCTTCTACCAGATACCTCATCCTGGTTCTTCTGTCAAAATGGGAAAGGTTTGTACATGACCTTCACCGTCGGC